ACTCTTTCTATTGCTCAAAATATTTAGTATTGATCCATTTCCTACACCTGGTACATTCTGAATTCAGAATGTGACAAAGTACTTGCTTTGAGATGTAAGCCATGAATAAATCTATTCCTATCAGGAGTTTCAATGCAATTTAGTACATAGGGAGTATTTAACAATCCCCTAAATATGGGGCTCCTTATTCTACATCATAGTGAAAATGACTGCTCTCAACATTCAGTCCCATTATTACACCTGGAGTTATGAGTCTTTGAAGTTTTCCTAGCATATGTGCAGCCAGAGTGTATTCAGGAGATAAGCATGTACTTCTTACGACAACAAATGCAATGAGAAGAAGAAACACATGAAATAGAGAAAGGGGTACTGCTGCTTCATTAGCAAGACAATACAAGTATTTTGTGTGTGTCACCTGCTAGAGTGTGCATGTATGCCGCCTGTTGGTGAGGGGGTACTGTTACAAGAAAGCTAGGCCACCAAAACACAGTGAGGGTCTGCAGAATCCTTGAAGGGGAAGCTAAAGCAAATTCCCCAAATCAATGCAGAAACTCCACCCAAAATGGCAATATTCTCTTCATGCAGCTGCAGCAATGAAAATGTCAAGCATCAAGTTAAAGCAGGATACCTGCCGTGCCTGACTGATGTTTGCTGATAAATTCAGTAAATTTTTAATCTTAAAATACTACAATATGGAAACATATCATTATAGTATTCTGAGCAAAGAATAAAAACACAGAGCAGGTGAAACCTTTAAAAATCATTAAAAAAATCAAATCTTCAAAATGTTTTGCTAAGTTTGCTATCAGAAGTACCAAAATAATGTCAGAAAGAGGAAGGTGACTGACAGAATATGTCAATCTCGGAAAGCTACTTCAGACCACACAATACATGCTCAAAGTCGGGGCAGACTACAAAAGGAAGATGAGCAGAATTTCCTGTATCCATGCAACCGTTATTATACTATTCACACGTACTACCCATTGCCACATCGTGATTAACAGACTAGCGCAATAAGGAAAAAGTTGCAATCAGGTTACATGAAGAGGACTGAATATCCCCGCTGATTACAAATGACAGCTGATTTTTTCAGTCATGTCTGCACTTAGAAAATGCACTAACTCAGAGGACGGATAAGCCCTTCTTGGAAGTAGGAGGGCCAAACTCACTGCCACTTTCTTCATATCCCATGTGCAAGCAAATCAACACAGTCCTACTTTTTAATTAAGAGTTTACCATGTTCCATCCTCACCACAAAGATCTGCAACATGACATTATAAATACTTCTCAAATATAGATAAGCACAGACCTACATATCACCAACTCCACACTGACGCGAAAGGTGCCCACCAAGTATTACACAGCACAGTGAAATGAACCACATACCTGAAGGCACGGAGACATCCGTACACTGATGCTGGCTTTGAAATTAAGAGCGCTAATACAGAAGTGTAGGGCTTGAAATGTGTTCTATTTGACAGAAGTCTCAAGTATTCTTGTTCCCTCAAGATCCACTAAGCTGAATTTCTACTAACCACCATCAAAGGTCCTAATGAACTAACACTGTTCCAGTGTATTAGATACTCATAAGTAAGTAAACAAAAATTAATTTCGAGCAGATCGCTTCAGAATTCTCTTTCACTGACACCCTTATGGTCCTGGACATGTGGGAAGCCTTGATTATCAGCTTCACTTTTCCAGCTGGGCCTCTGCTTTTGGTGTACCTTCTGAAAAATAGCTTTTCTGTTCCTTTTTCCTCCCTCTTTGAACATACTGTTCTCACCACTCTGAGTCCTCTTTTTCTTTGCTCCAGCAACACTCCAACACAAGGACAGACCACCTTTATTGAGTCCTGTCTTCTGCAAGAGACATTAAGTCTGGTGGGGTCTCCAGAAAAGCTTTTTAACCATAGACCATAAAATACTCCTGCCCCCACACCCTTCAGTCCAGAACAAACTAAAAAGCCAGTAGTGAACTGCTACTGCCATAGCTAAAATATGCCAGAGGAAAAAAGCAGGAGACACTAAAGACAGTCCTTGATGTCTTCAATTCCCTGCTATTGCAGGAACATAATTAGATTCAATTTTCAAATATTCCTAGTTAACAGACCATGTCCACATTACAGGAAACACCCACCAGTCTGCCATTCTTGTATGAGGGAAATTCCTTCTTGACCTCGAATCTGGCCATGGGTTGAACACCAAGAGCATGTCCATGACGTTTTTAATCAAGAATTTTTTAAACCACAGAGAGCTAGGCCAAACTTTGAAGTTTAGCATTTTTTTGCTGTTCTCCACTGACACAACTGACTCCACCATAGCTTAATTCAAGCCAGGGAAGTTTGTAGAGTTTTTTTTAATTTCATGCCAAGCAAACAGCTTTTAAAGAACTGCCCACACACCCATTGTAATTTTCAAAGTATTATACAAAGCACTGAATATAAGATACTCCAAGCCAGGTGGAAAAAGACTTCCACCAACTACTTAACAAAGCTGCCCTTTAACATCAGTGCCCAATCAACTGGTGCTTCACAAGCTTACCAAATGATGATACGAAACCCACCAACCAATAGTATCTAGTATTAAATATACATAATGCTTTCCAGTTATCATGCTAACCATACTAGGAGACAAATATCAACATTTTAGTGGAGGCCACATTATGTCATAAATGACATGCAGTGCTTTGATACATATAAAAAGTGAAATCTGGAGAACTGAATTACAAGTGAATATGCAATACACAGCTCTTAGGAACTGGCCAATTCCTAGACACTGAGCTGGCAAGCTATGTCCAAGGAATTTATTACAACTTCCATATTCTGTAAAGAAGTTGAAACATACAAGTTTGTGGGGTTTTTTGGTACTGACAGTTTGCTATTTCGAAGTAAATTGTTTTCCAATTGGTCATCACTATACATCAATAAAATGCTATAAGCCATCACTTTTCATGGTATAATGATGATAATACATTTTAAATTCTTTGATTAAGCCACTTGAGTAATGACAAAAAGATCGGACCTTTCCAAACATAAAAATACAATGAATCAACATCTGTCATCTACAGAAATGGCACAAACGTCATTTAATGTGATCACATCAAACACCATCCATCATTCATCTGTAAATTTACTTCATCAAAAACTCATCTAATCCAAAACTCTGAGTATTAACAGTCAGCCTTAGAAAAAACAGAGTATTTTAGCAATACGCTATCACATGACAAATACAAGTATCTACAGCTTGGGTGGAAATTAAGCCTAGAATTTCTTTTGGATCAAAATTTAAACTTACCTTTCAACTTATGAAATTTAAAAATAGCATATTCTTGTTGATTTAACTAACGTATATAACAGAACTCAATCTTAAGAGGGGGAGAGGTATAAGTGACTGACTTACCTTATGTTGTTTAATTTCTGGTTGTTAAATGTATTCTTCCAAGAGCAGCCCCTTCACAAAACTACTATTTCAGTTCCACACAGAAAAAAAAAAGAAAAAAAGAGATAACCTTTCCTGACATCTTTACAAAGACACTAACATAATTTTGACATAAACTTTGTATTCTGAGCTGAATAACAAAATCTGTATGACAAAAATGTAACAAATTTCTCATCTTGAAGGAAAAAAAGCATTCATATCCCTCTTGGAACTAGAAATCAAAACTAAGTCACATTAATAGTGGATTTATCAATCCTAAATATTGTTGAGGAAAGAAAGGTTATTAACACCATGACATTGCTATTTTAGGAGGTCTACTCACAAAATGGTCATTAAAATAATTTTTGCTTAACAAGAAGTGATAAGTACATGTTATAAAATATTAGAAACAGGCAATTTTTCAGCACTGAATCTATTCTTCACTTAATTAAAAAAAGCTGGTCTTCATCTGAATTGTCTTCTATGGGTTTAAGTTTCTTAAAGGCACCATCACCATAAAAAAAAGAAAATATTTTCTCTATGTTAATCTGACAAATATATAAGATGACAGAAAACATGAGGATTGTATCTGTAGAACTGCAAGGGAATGTATATGCCATGGAAACCATTTGAGTGAAAGGATACAAGTTTTGGTATAATGGGATTAATGATTTCAATGCACGGCTTGCATTTATAGCTGTTGCACGAACCATAATAGGAAGAACTTTTCCATTCACAATAGCACCATCAAAGAGTGGACCAAAAAATGGAACCTGAATAAAAAATTAAGAAACTCAGCATAAAGCAAGATCTTAGCTATAACAATTAGCAATCAACATTAACAATAGAGCACTCAAATATATAATTTTTTTTCTCCTCATCACTAGATAATCAGACCAGTTATTGTGCTCCATGACAGACCTTTTCTCTTGTGGAAATATACAGCCATATAACTGCTTGATATCCTTGGTAACAGATAACACAGCATTTGAAGAAAATTAAGCAACCATTTGAATACTATGTCTCATCAAAGCTTATTTCCAACATTTGCTGCCAAAATCCTAGGAACAGTCATGCATATGATGTTTACCAGGTTGAAAGGCTAGATGACAATATTGTAGGTGGTAGTAAGCAAAAGGAATAATTACTCAAATTTTAAAATAATATTTATCATAGCTTTAGATAGAACATGTCCATAATGACCAACTCAATGTGCAACTGTCATGCAATTACTGGTGGACCGACCCTCACCTTCCATTTTCTTTTTTTCTTCTCTCTGTTCTTCTCCCTTTCTATGGTATCTATACAAAGATTGTAAGCTCTTTACAGGAGAAATCTGCGGTGAAAGTCTGGCCTCTTTGGACCCTCAGTGTAAAGCCTTACTTGTGAGATCAGTAGAAAACCTTGATGTTTAGTATAGGCAGCACCAAAAAGGTTTACAGAACAGATAGATCTTATGTTTTGGCATTACATTTTCCTCTAATCAATCATAATTTTGCAATTAAAAAAAAAAAATTAAAACTCTAGTAAGTATCTTCATTTCCTGTATGTGTGAATAAAGTTCTGAAGCCGCTAGCATAAAGCATGCGGAGAAGAGCAAAGTTAGTGATCAGGTCAGCAAAGGAAGCAGAATGTACGCTAATTATTCTTCCTGCTAAGATGAAACCAAAGCTACAAAAGAATTTCGGATCCCTGTATTATTTTTGCCATCAGTCATTAACGTAGTTTTGAGAATATTGAAATATGATGGAAAACACTTTTTTCACATACAAGGACCTCTTGTGGGAGTAACAACAATCCCTGCTCTCAGCAATTTTCTGTTTCTTTCTTAACCTGCATACCCCCAATAATGCAACTTTTTGTACTTAAAGCAGTAAGAGAAAGAATATACCTAGTAATTAAAAACATAAGTATCCCAGGAATCACAAGACTATGTACTGGGTATCATTTCATGCCGATGATCAGATAGAGGCAGTCATCATGTAGAGGGAATCCTATTTCTGTCATACTTCATTTATTAATATTAGTGCTTCTAGAAAGAATTTTAATATTTAAAGTATAGAAATTCATGGCAAGTGACATCACACACGGAAATTATGCAGTACAAACACTCATGACTACTTTTACTCAGTCAGCGTTCGCTACCCTAAACCACTGTTTTAAGAACAGGGCCAGCACAGACATTTGAGGA